AAATTCTTCAAGTTGACAATATTAACTATTCAGGAACCTAAGTAGACATTAGTTTTGAAAGAGAAAGCATGGTTCTAAAGAGATATTGATGTTCTTTAAAAAATTTTTTGCATTTATTTGTGTGTGTGTGTGTGTGTGTGTGTGTGTGTGTGTGTGTGTGTGTAGGTCAGAGGACAACTTGGGGGAGTTGATTCTCTCCTTCCACGTAGGTTTTGGGGACTGAACACAAGTCTTCAGACTTGGCAGCAAGAACCTTTACCTGCTGAGCCATCTTGCTGGTCCTTGAGATTCCTTATTATTGCTCTTACAATATGCTATTTTGTTTTACTGAAGAGCCCTTTTGCTTGTTTGTTCGTTCATTCGCTGCTTTGTTTTTGAGAAAGGGTCTTGCTATGGATGGATGGCCTTGAACTCATAGTGATCCTTCTGCCTCAGCCTCCTGTATGCTGGGATTACAGATGTACACAACACACCTGGTTTTTTAAATCACTTTTTACTTTTTTGTGGTACTAGGGAATAATTCTAGGGTCTCACATATGAAAGTATACTACCACTGAGCTACATCCCCGAATTAGAGAGCTATTCATAACAAAACAAATAAAACACTTTGACATGCACTTATATAAATCATGAATATATAAAACTCCTATTATAGGATATTTGTGTTGACAGGTTTTGAAAATTTCCTTTTTTTTTTTTGGTTTCAACTGAGGCAGTGAACAATTGGAAGGGAACAAGAGAAGGAAAGAAGATAAAGGAAACTTTTTCCTTAGAAATTAGAAATATTATCTTCAGCTACATTCCATTTTTTGTACCCAAATCCTTAGGTTTAATTCAGAATGTTTCTTGTGATTAATGAATCTAATATCATAAAGCAACTTATATGAAATTTTATTCCTGCCTGCAGTATAACAAACTGCCTCTTTTATGATAGAATTAGATATTATACCAAAGCTGCCTAAGAGAATTTTTTAAATTTTGTAGGTGAAAATAGAATATTGTGTTTTATTTCCCTGATTGCTACTGAGATTGGACAGTTTTCTGTTTATTAAACAATTTTAGTTTATCATTTATAAATTATCTATTTTAATTGCTTATGAGATTATGAGATTATTTTCTAGTTAAGGTCATTTTTATTTTCTTGTTTATAACTTATTTATTTATTTACATTTTAGAATTTTAGTGTTTTTTTTTCTTTTCTTTAAAAAAATTTTAATACCTATTAATGTTTTGCCTGTATGTATACAAGGGCACCACATGTGTACAATGCCTCCAGACCAAAAGAGGAAATTAGATCCCCTGGAACTGGACTTACTGACAAGGCACTTTTTTTTTAACTTTTTAACTTTAAAAGAAAAATTTATTGAGAATTTCATACATGCATGTGAGGTGTTTTGATCAAATCCACACCCACTCTCTCCCCTCCAACACTTCCTATATTTCCTGATCACTTTTTTTCTGACAACTTCATTCTTTCTTTCTTTCTTTCTTTCTTTCTTTCTTCCTTCCTTCCTTCCTTTCTTCTTTCTTTCTTTCTTTCTTAAATGGGGATTTTTGCTACTCTAACATTACCCCTCTGAAGAGGTAACCCTAACATCTTTCAGGGATTAGATAAGAGCTCCCAAATAGTTTTGTCATTTTTGGCCCTTGGAACAGAGTGTATTGTTAAACGGCCCAAGGACATTTTGACTTTTAGCCAAGAAACTGGCTACTTTTCTTTGGGGTCTTTTTTACCCTAACTGACTAGCCAATTCCTACCTCCTATTATCACACCATCCTCTGAGGAGGTTATCCAAATTGCCAATAGGGAATCGGGTCGCAGACTGCTCTGGCTTCTTCCATGCTGAACAGGGACACAGGGTGAGGCAATTGGAGTACCCCTTCAGTGGGTCTATCTAAAAGACTCCCAAATTGCATAACTCATATCCGTATGGGGAAAAGAAAGTCCTTGACTTGTGAATAGGAGATGTGAAGGAGAAGTAAAGGCAAGAGTAATTAGCATTACAAGTTCTAGACAGGGAATCAGAAAAAAGTCAGAACAGGGCCAATTTCAAATGTTTATATCAGAATCCATTGGGATTTCTTGATGAGAGCTTCCAAAAGCATCCCCCTATTGGGTTCAGTCCCCCTCCAAAGGCTTCCAGATAGAGGGAGAAAACAAACTTAGCCATCAGTTTAGAACAATAGTGGGTTATTTCCCTTAGCTACAGGTGGGCAATATAGTATTTTAGACCAAGATTTGAAGTCTTACATCTGCGCAGCACTTTCTGATTAGGAACAAAATCATCAATGAGAAATAATTGTCTAAATAACTTTTTATATGGACTTAAGCCTAATGTCTGGGAAGTGTAATCCCTTGAACTCCTAAAGAAATATACTGATTACTTTATTACTCTTTGGTTATACTTTCCTTTTGGGTGTTTAAGGCCCAAATAAATTAATTTATTTTACACTTAAGGTCATTTGAGGATCTGTTTCTCTGGGGTCACATGGGCTTCGGAGGAGCCCCTGGCTCCTTTCTTTTACCAGTTCCATCTATGTGAAAATAAGTCAAAGGTCCTGCTTGACCATGTCTGGCTTTACTTGGAAGCATGGATGAGATGTTTCCTCTGAGTTGACCCTCCTCTTTGTAGACTGGACACTTGTTCAAGTCCATCTCGTGGGGTCTCCATGTCCTCCCTGAACAAGAGGACATGTGACTCACCGCAGTTACAGGACATTTTGAGAGCTGTTCCATAGTCCACTGGAACTTGGTCGACTTTGGAGGGGAGGGCAAGGGGCAAAAGCTGTCCTTTAAGTCCCTTTGACCACATTAGTATAGGCCTCAAAGTATGGCTGTTAAATATCCAAGAAGGTTAGTTCCACAAGTCTAGTACTTTTAATTACCATGTGCTATGTAGATAAATCTTGGGCTAAAAAAGAATTATTCTCAGATTAACCTTGACTAAATATATATTTTGTTTCTTAAACTAGTTGACTAAACTATGTCCTTAGAAATTTTAAGATTATTTATATATTATTTTTGTCTCATCCTTTATATATCATAACAAACCTACACAGACCTTCATCCCTTGCTTAGAAAAATGTGCGTTTTCAAAGTAAACATTAGGGTTGTAGCCAATGACCTTTAGAAGAAATCAAGATCATCTGGCCCAAACATTCATGTAAAGTTTTGATCTCATTAAAAAGGGTTCTCATCAGTTGAGCTAATTAAATAGAATAATTTTTTTATGATTTAATTTTTTAATTTTATGTGTATGAGTGTATTGCCTGCATGTATGTGAGTGCACCAGTGTTTAAACAGCTTTAATGTTATACAATTTGTATACTATCTATTTCAGCTGCTTAGCACATATAGTTTAATAGGCTGTAGTGGATTTATAGAGTTGGGCAACTGTTACCATATTCCAGTATTGCAGCATTTCATCACCCTATAAAGCATACCTTGTGTCTGTTAGCCCCCCTCCAAGCCTTGGTATAAGTGTCTCTCATTTGTTCTCCAGTTCTGTGTGTTTGCTTATTTCTTTAAAGTGAGATTGTACACTCTATGTGGATCTTTATAACTTGCTTTTCACTTGCATAATAGTTTTTGTGTTCATACATTCATCAGTATTTCATGAGTTGATGAACTTTTTTTTAATTGTTTCTACTATTTGGTTACTATAAAAAATATATCTTTCATTGCTTGTATCTAAGTGTTTGTGAGTGCACAGATTTTAATTTCTTTTGGGCATATCTAAGGGTTACATTGCCAAGTTGGATGGCAATTCTGTTTTTTTATATTTTGAAACCTGTCACATTATTCCCCAAAACTGTTGGTGTCAGTGTACATTCCCACACCCCAGCCATGTGTGAGGGTTCCAGTTTCTCTGCTCTTTTTTGATAATAGTCATTCTGGTTTCTGGTGGTTATACAGTGCTGTTTCTTTGACAGTCCTGACTTTCTTAAGCAGGCCCATATAAGTCAATAGTTATCTGTTTTCTGAAAGATCTTCAAGTTCTAAGAATTTTATTTTAAAATTTTACGTGTTGGGGCTGGAGAGATGGCTCAGTGGTTTAGAGCATTGGCTGCTCTTGTAGAGGACCTACGTTCAGTTCCCAGCACCCACCATGGAGGCTAACAATGACTGTGACTCCAGTTCGAGGGGATCTGACACCATCTTCTGGCCTCTGTAGGCATTGAATACATAGGTACCCTTACATAAATTCACACAAACCATTCATACACAGAATTTTTAAAAATTTCCATGTTGATGTTAACATTGGAAAAAGAGTAATATATGTTATTATTATTGTGTGTTAGTGCATAATCACCTTACAATCAATGACCACCACACTTTACTTGTTTGAAAGTCTTCAAGCACTTCTACTAAGAGAAGAAGAGACAAGTTACATTTGGATTTTACACATCTCAGGGTCATAAAGACAAAAAAATTTGTTCCATTTGAAGAGAGAAATGGTTAGATAATCATTGGAATATAGGAATAATGAGCACCAAAGAACATTATCCATAGCTCTGACTGTATTGCAGCAAGCCCATATGTGCTTAGACTTTCAGCTGTGATTTGATTTTGGCAAAACACTCTTACATTAAATGAGAAATAAATATTCTTTAGCTTTTTTGTGCTTTAATGTAAGCATATCCTAGCTTTTTAATTATAAACTTTTCAATTGTATGTATAGAGTTGTATAGCATTGTATAAAGTAGTATAAGTGAAAACTTAGGAACCATAATACTTTTTATTTCTTTTCAAGGAATTACATATGATTTTCATTTTATATAAAGACACTGTTATATGTGTCTTTGTATTTTATGTCATTGATTTTGGAAGAAGACCTAAAACTATAAACTTGAAGTTAGTTTTGTTTACTTGCTCAGGGCATAATTTAACTAATTTTGTTAGTGATTAGGTGAAGTTCCCTAGAATAAAGGAGGAATGTTAAGGAGTATTTCTTTCTACAATACTTAGCACTCAGTATTTTCACTGATTAATTTTACAGATAGTCAGTATGCGTTTCCAAGGTGTTGGACTATGTTTGGGTCTTCTGTTCATCACAGTTAATGCACAATTTATGGGTGATGGTGTTGAGGTGGAAGACTTCAATCAAAATTCGGAAGAGACTGACGTTAAAGAGGAGATTCCCTCAGGGGTAAGATGGTTGGGAAGTGAGTGGGGAGTGACTACTCTCCTAAGAGTCATTTCATTTCTGAAAGTGTTCTTTTTCTAAATAGATGGGAAATTCTTGCTTTTCTCTTCCATTGTTTTGTTACTGTATTCTTTGCATACATACAACAAAAATCTGTGTCTTGACACCTTCTGCAGTTATATTAAATAAATATATGGAAGGTTTTGCTAACAAAATGAGAGTGCATCACTGGTTGAAGACAACTTTTTCAGCAAAGATTAAGGCCTTTAGTGTCGTTTTGGATAATACCAGACCTTTCCAGACAACATTGGAGGTAGTGTAATTTGTGGTTCTTCAAGAAGTACATAAGTGACTTTTCTTTATTGGTCTTAGGAAAGGAAGTGCTAAGGAGGAAGATGAATTGGAAAGGGAAGAAATGGTGTGTAGGCTTTATTTGGAAGGGTTGACCCACCCCTCTGCCTCAGCATTGTTAAGGTGCATGTTTAGAGGTGGTAACAGTGGAGCCTGGGAAACGTCACAGAGATTTGGGGATATATTATGTCCACAAGAGCTTTCATTTTGAGGAATATTCTTATGTAATAGTGTGACAAATGGGAATGTCCTCTTTTCAATGGTAATTAATAGTTAATTCTACTGTCAGGCTCTGATCAAAGGGCCAAGAGGAATAATATATAGTTCCTGCAGACTTCTTTGTTTCATTTAATCCTTACTGGTTTTTAAATTTGCAAATACAAATGTTTATCTGTTTGAGGTGAGCACTGTGCTTCCTCTATTAAATTTTAATCTCTGCAATGGTATTCTTTTAAAACCTAGTTCTGTGGTTTACAAAGTAATGCTTGAAGTACTAAGGGCTGGGGCAGACACCTACTACCAGGATCCTTGGAAGTTCATACTTAAAAATTGGCAAGAATACGCACTAGTCCTAACTATATTTGGTGAGAAGACAAGAAGTGGGAAAGAACCATTTTTAAAAATCTATTAGCAGATATCAGTTGTACAAAAGAACAGGTTTCATTATAGCCTTATGAGGACGTGAAGCTTTGAACTCAGAGCCCATGTGGTTTCACCCCTGACTGCCTCCATATGCAATCAGTACTTGCTTCTGTTTCTTTTTCTTTTGGTAGTTTTAAATTTAAATTTTTAAAATGTTTTTATTAATTCTTCAAGAATTTCATACAATGTATTTTGATCATATTCAATTCCCCCCATCTCCTCTTAGATCTACCCCTACCTCCCCTACCACCTCTAACTTTGTGTCCTCTAATATTTTATAAGTCCATCAAGTCCAATTTGTGTTCCCTGAATATTCTTGGCTGTGAGTCCATCCCCTAGAGTGTGGTGAACCTGCTAGGAATCACACCCTTAAAGAAAAATGGATCTCTGTCTCTCTGTCTCTCTGTCTCTGTCTCTCTCTTTCTCTCTCTCTCTCCCTGTGTCTCTTTGTCTCTCTCCTGCACTCATGGAGGAGGCAGAAGCAGGTAGATCTCTGTGAAATCAAGGCCAACCTGGTCTACATAGTGAGTTCTAGGTCATCTGTGGCTACAGGGAGACCCAGTCTCAAAAAGGCCAAAATATAAAAATTAAAATAGGAAGACAGCCTCTCCTCCAGCAGCTGTCAGTTACCAGCAGTGCCTCAGTGAGGGGTACTAGAAGCTTAACTAGCAAAATGGTTTGAGATAATTTGGAAAATGAATAATTTTCACTTAAAAATCTCTTTTCTAGACTATTAAATATAAGACACCTCAACCTATAGGAGAAGTATATTTTACAGAAACATTCGATAGTGGAAATTTGGTCGGGTGAGTACTCATTCAAGGGAATGTTTTCTTTGATTTGATTCACGTTTCTGAAGTTATTGCTCTATGAGAACTATCTCTACTATGAATTTATAAAATGTTTTAAAGTACTTTATTCTACAGTATAAGTCTGTATTTTGCACATTTTTGTTTTGAGAGTATGTTTAGTTTGAATAGCTATGTATTTATACAAAGAAAGACAAACTAAGCACATGGCATATCCTCATTCTCTGGGATAGCTTTTAACAGTGGAAATGCGGGTGACTAAGACTAATGGTATTACTAGAAAAGACAATGCTTAATTTAATCCTTCCTGATTACTACATTCCAGACTGTCTCGAACTTAGTATTTCATCCCACTTTACACTGTAGAAACTGAGGCTTGATGTGCATTCCTGCTAGCATACAGCTAATAAACCACAGAGTCTAAGCTTGATCTAATCTTCCCCTAGCCTTGTAGAGGCTTCTATAAAGGCATCCTATTTAACCTCTAAGTACCAATTTATTTTGAATGAAAACTAATTACGTTAAGTAACCTCTTGTATTTTTACATGCATTGTGACTATAAATTTCAGGCCTTGTTTTTAATGGTAAATATTTGTCTTCAACTTTATATACAGGTGGGTCTTATCAAAAGCAAAGAAAGATGATTTGGATTCAGAGATTTCGGTATATGATGGTAAAATATTTACTTAAATATTACATAAATATAACCCATGTTTGCTGGTCTTTGAGATTATAATTTTTCTGAATTATGCTGGTTAGTAAGTACTGTAAGAAAAATGGCTGATGAGTGCCATCCGTTTCCTAGTACCATAACTTCACACTGGGGCAGACTGCTTATTTTATGTTATGGATGCTCTTTGTCTCATGTACACTTTAAATATCTCATTTAAAAATTCAATAACGAAGCCAGATGTGGTGGCACACACCTTTAATCCTAGTGCTTGGGAGGCAGAGACAGGCAGATCTCTGTGAGTTTGAGATCAGCCTGGTCTACACAGAGAGTTCCAGAGCCAGCTGGGGCTACAGAGAAACCCTGTCTCAGACAAAATAAATAAATAAATAAGTAAATAAAAAGTTTTTAAAAACCCAGTAATGATAGACCTTATGAGACAAATCATCTTTTATAAATCTTTGTAAAGTGTCTGTCAGAGAAAACCAAATTACTTTTTAGAAGTTTTTTAATCTGTTATTTGTGAGGTTTTATGATTTTAGCTAAGGAATGAAACCGTTTTCTGATAGAAGAAATGAAAAGAGAAGGAAGAGAAAAAATGAAAGAGAGGACGAGAGGACAGGAGGGGGGAAGGGGAGAGGAGGGAAGGGAGAGACAGGAGGGGAGAAGAAGAAGAAAAGGATGGGGGAAACAGGAAGGAAAGGCAGAGGAGAAGAGGGGAGGGAAGGGGAAGAAAGAAGAAGAAAGGAGGCAGGAAAAAGAAAGGAATACGTAGAACTCCAGATATTATTTCCTGGCACATAATTTGCTTTTATTTTTCCCTAACCAGTCTTCATAGAAAAAAACGTTGTCAACAGCTGCTGACAGCTTTCTTCACACAGCCCCCATTTTACTTATGTTGCCTTGTTTTCTTGTTTAGGAAGATGGGAAATAGAAGAACTGAAAGAGAACCAAGTGTCAGGTGACAGAGGCCTGGTGCTGAAGTCCAAGGCAAAGCACCACGCCATAGCTGCCGTGCTTGCAAAGCCCTTCATTTTTGCTGATAAGCCTTTGATAGTTCAGTAAGTTTTATTGTATTTTTAGGTTTTTAAAGCTTTTTCTGAGTTTGTATTAGTTTGGTATAATCTGGCATCGTAATATTTCTTGGATTTTGGTGCTGTGTACAAAACAAAACAAACAATAACAAAACCTACCCCATGCTCCTTTCCACATTCATATACACACGTGCATATGCATAATGAGCTCCTTAGAGAAAAGCAGGCTGGTGATAAAATTCTATGTAGTATTTCCTGTACATACAGTTCTGCTACCAGAGAGTCACCATTTTTGTTTTAATTTTTTTATAGTTACTTGCTGTTAAGATAGTAACCTCAATATATTCAAAACATAACTGTAAACCAGCAATACGATTCAAAGCAGCAGATTTCGTTTACCAAGAGGCTCTATCTTCACCTGTCTTTAAAGCTTGGACCTCCTTAGAAATCCCCTGCTGCCTCAGACTGCCCAGGCTTCCCCTGCATTGACATCAGCCTCTGCTGTTTGCATATGAACTGTTCCTGTAGATTCTTTCGCCTGTGGTGTTGTGACACCAAAGTAAAGCTCTGCAAAGTCCACACAATTCAAATGACAAAGAAATGGAAATGTCTCAATGTTGCTTTCTACCTTGTGTATGAAATTATGGCTGTTCAAAGTTAATTACATTATGCAGAAATACCACTCACTGCACCCTCCATCCCTCCACAATCCCTCCAGTTCCTGGGTTAGTTGTCAGACTTCTACTTAGTCTCCATGAACTCATTTCATTGAGTATTGAATACCAAGTAATGACAAGGAGGATATACACATTATTTGAGCCAATTAAAAATGTCATTACAAATACTTGTTGGGACTAATATTTGCTGTGGTGTGAGATTTTGTTTTCCTTTTGCATTTTGTGTATATGGTGCATGTATGTGTGTTGGTGTGTGTGCGCACATGTGTTTAGGAGCATGTATGAGGGAGCATGTGTGTGGGTACCATGCACATGTATGCTTGTGCATGTGGAAGCCCAAGGTTGATGTTAGAAGTCATCCTCAATCACTAAGGTCTCTCAGTCAAACCTAGAGCTCCCTCATATGGATATCTTGCTAGCCAGCTTACACTGGGGATCCTGTCTCTCTCTTCTGAGGCTGGACTTACAGGTAGGCTGTGATGTCCATCCAGCATTTATGTGGTTCCTGGGATCCAAACTTTTGTCCTCATGCTTGCCTGGGAAATGCTTTAATCACTGAGCCAGCTCCCCAGCCCTTCCATGAGAATTTTGAGATAATCTTATTATGCTCTTGAAAATTAGGCGAATAAAACATCACTTTATATTTTAAACTCAATAAATTAAAAAGGTCTGTAAAGAAAAACAATATAGGAGATGGAGCGATGGCTCAGCAGTTAAGAGCACTGACTACTCTTGCAGAGGACCCAGGTTCGATTCCCAGCACCCACATGGTGGCTAACAACCATCCGTAAATCCAGTTCCAGGGGTCCAGTGCTGTCTTTGGACCTCTGCAGGCATTGCAGGACTTGGGACATTAAGCAAATGTTGTCTTGCAAGATTAAAATCAAACAAAAAATAAGTCTAAATATTTACAAAAACAATTATGAAATGATTATTTTGAAAAATTAAAAGAGGACAGCAACTGACAAGCAGTCAAATGGACCAAATTGAAACAATTTTATGGTAAGTGCTATAAATGGTACATGTTTTTACTGTGTTTCATGAGCTTTTTCCGATTTGTGTACACATCAATACAGGCTGAGTATACCTAATCTGAAATCTGAAATGCTTTTTGAAATTTGAAACTTTTCTCAATTTCTTTGATCATTTTTTTCATATGATGGAAATTCTATAATATTTTTCTGTTCAATACTTTTCTAAAATTGATACATGCACAGTTCCATGAGGTGCCTGATCATTTAATACTTACATTGCAATCAGTATGTAATGAGAATTAGCATTTCCATCTCTGAACATTTGTGTCTGTGTTGAGAACATTCAAAATCCTTTCCCCATTCTTTATGGAACATACAATAAATTATCATAAGAATAGTCACCTACTGCTACAGAGGACACCTGAACTTACCCCTCTTTTCTAAGCATAGTTCTGTTCCTAATATTTGACTTTCTCGTTTCCCCCTTTCCTGTCCGCTCCCTAAAGCCTACTGATCACTCTTCACTTCTATGGAATCAGTTTTGTACCTTCCAAATACGAATGAGAACTTGCAGTATGTCTTTGTTTATGCTGCAATTATTTTACTCAATATGATGTTCCACAGGTCCAGCTGTATTTCTGTAAATAACAGACTTGAATTCTTTGAAGTGGCTGAACAATTTCCACTGAGCATACGGGGACCACATTTGCATTATCCATTCCTCAGTAGTCACACAGTTAATTCTCCCTGGAGGCAGTTGAGAGCAGTGCTGCAGAAGACAGAAGTGCAGCCATCCTGCGACCCAGACACCCGCTAATGGTGTTTCCTCTGGACCTACACTCAGGTCTGGGGTAGCGGATTACTAGAACATGTGGCACGTCTTTATTCCATTCTTTATAGTGGCTATACTAATTGATATTCCACCAACAATGGATATAATTTTTTATCATCATTTTCTGGTCTTTTTTATTAAAGCCATTCCAACTGGAGGAAGGTGATATCTCATTGTGGTTTTGATTTGCGTCTCTCTGATTAATGATGTTGCATATTTTCTCATATGCTTTTTGCTCACATCTATATCTGCTTTTGAGATATGTCTGCTTATATCTATTGCTTATTTTTAATAGGATTTTTTGAGGTTTTTAGCTCTTGGGTGTCTTTTATTCTGAATATTAACAAGTTTTCAGATTGCTATGGTTTGAATGTGAATATTCCCCGCATCTTATGTGTTTAAACACTTGGTCCCCAGCTAGTGGTGCTGTTTTGGGCAACTGTGAAACCGTTTGGATATAGGACCTAGGCATAACTGTAGGAGTTGGATTAGATGAGCATTAGAATAAAAATACATGCTGGGGTTCTATTTTTCTTTTTAACTTGTGAGACTTGTGTAGACTGATGTGGTCTGTCCTGGAGAACATCCTGGGCACTGGTGGATCGCATGCATATTCTGCAGCTGCTGGAGGACAGACTCTGCAGTCGTCTGTTGGGCCCATTTGATGTGGCATAGTTTAAATCCAGGTTTCCTTGACTGCTTTTGTTTGGATGATCTGTTCATTGATAACGGAGGGTGTGGAGTCCCCCACTGTTACTGCTTCTCTTTTTAGTCTAGTTGTTCTTGCTTTATGTAATTGCTCCAATATCAAGTTCATACATGCATCCAACTGTGATTTCAACCTGTTTAACTGGCCCTATTATCGTTACAGTGACTTTGTCTCCTCTCCTAATTTCTGAGTAAATCTCTTTTCTCTGATATGAGGATAGCTGTATTCGTCTAGTTTCCATTTGAATGCATATCTTTTTCTCTGCCAGTGCAATGAGTTTTTGGTATGCTGAATATGGTTGGCTATTTTTCTTTTATTACTATTTTCATAGTTGTTTTTGACTTGTTCATTTATTCAGAAAGTCTACATCTTTTAATTGGGGACTTTAATTGATATTCAAGGTTATATTGCTAATAACTACTGTAATTTTGTTAATATGTTTTCATTGTTTTAGAAATTCTTTGATTTCTTTCTCATTGTTTATCTTTGACATTTGATGGTTTCTTGCACTGGCGAGGTTTGATGCTTTTTGTGTATATGGTCTGTTAGTGAATTCTATACATTAATGTTTTCATAATGCCAGCTATTGTCCTTTTGCCTTGAAGTAGGACTCCCTTAAGAACTTCTTGTAAGGCTGGTCTGTTGGTGATGAATCACCACAGTTTTTGCTTGTCTCGGGAAATACTTGTTTTTCTTTATTTCAGAAGGATAGCTTTGCTAGATATACTATTTTCTTTCATCTGTTTGTTTTTGAGACAAGGTCTCCCTATAGCTCCATCTGGCCTGGAACTTGCTATGTAGACCAGGTTGGCCTTGATCTCATAGGGATCTGCCTGCCTCTTCCTCCTGAGCACTGACTGCGTTTAAAGGCACCCACCATGCCTGGCTAGGGATGGTATTCTTGATTGTCAGTTTGTGCTTCCTGAGTATATCATCCCCTTTCTTCTGCACCTGTAAGGCTTCTGCTGAGAAATCTATTAATTCATATTGCATGTACTTTAATGGTTTTCTCTTATTTTTTTAGAGTTTTATCTTTGGGTTTTTCAGAATTCTAATGTCATATTTCAAAGATTTTATTTTATTTGGTTGAATTTTATTAGAATTCTTTGAACTTTCTGGAATTTAGTAATCATATCTTTACCAAAATTCAGGCAATATTTGGAAGTTTTCAACTAATTTTTTCATTAAATAGGTTTCCTATGCCTTTTCTTTTCTCTTTGAAACATCCACAGTGTGAAAATATGCTCACTTAGTGGTGTCCCACCAGACTTCCCTTAAGTCTCGTGGGCTTCTTTTCCTTTTTTTTTTTTTTCTTTTTGAGTAGGATATTTCAAAAGAATTCTCTTCAAGCACAGAACATTCTCTTTTGCTTAATCTAGACTGTTGAAACTGACAGGAGTGCTTTAAATGTCATGTTATGATGTTTGTGTCTGCAGCTCTTCTCATTCAGATAATGAACTGCTTTCCTGGCTTCACTGAATTGTCTTTCTGGATTCTCAAATATCTCATTAAATTCCCCTAAAGAAATGATGCTTTAATTATTTTTCAGGCGAGCCGCTGCTTTTCTTTCCTTTGAGATTTGTTCATAGAGTTATTTTGTTCATTTGGAGGCATCCTAGCATTTTCATGTCTCTTCAGCCTATACTGATGCTTGCCTCTCAGGCAGATCAGTTGCCTCTGCCAGCTTGGCAGGGTGGCTTTCATAGTAAATGATATTTTTTGGCAGTGAACCCTAGGGTGCTGGTTGGGCAGGCTACACTAGGTTTAGTTCCATGTGGGCATGGTAGGTAGTGCATGTGGTGTCAGGCATCATCTTCAGCTCTAAAATGACTTAGGTTGCAGAAGTTTGTGGGATTGCCCTGTTAGCTTGCATGCAGTACTTTCAGATACAGCATGTTTGGTAAAGCAAACAGCTACAGATATGGTTTCCACAGGTTTTGTGGAAAAGCTTTAGTGGGTTCAGGATGGCATGGTGTGGCACTCCCAGCAATAAGGGCAGGATATTCATAGGTTTCTGAGGGCTTAGCATGGGCCACACTTGGACATGATGCCTATCAGTGTCTGAAAGTCATTCAGAACCTCTGAAGGGACTGGAGGGATGAAGTGTGACATTCTTGGCCATGGGTGTGATGCTCATCAGCTTAAACTATTGTCTCTATAGGATGTTAGCAGGCTGATCTTCTCAATATGGAGGCCCAGCTTTCCTGGGATTGAGGATTGGTTTGTCTGTGTTCCTTCCTCAGGACTTTGGTAGATCAAACTGCTTACAGTAGACTTCTTGGTGCTTTTTAGGGTGAATGAGTAGGGTTGCTCACTTGTTTTGGGGGACAACAAGCAGGCAAGATCTTAGCTAGAAATCTTAGCCTGGGTGGGGTATAGCATATGGGCTTTCTTTGGGGTAATGCAAGGGTGTGGGTTTCCCTAAGCTGACATCAGATCATGAAGGCTGCACACAGACTTCTCCAGCAGCCAAACGTTCAGTGCCCACAACATAAGTTACCGTTGTTGGAGGTCTCGTGCTGGCCCATTCCCTACTTTGTGAAGTCTCTTCTGGTTCATAGTCTTGACTGAGATGTAATGGTAGAATCTGTGTGCTCCACTCCTTTATGAGGCCACCCTAGTCTTGTTGCTTCATTTCTACCATATCCCTAGTATGCTCTAGCACGCTCCCTCAAAAACAACAATGAAGTAGCAGTTATTCAATTTCTTTCCGTCATTCCAGGCACTGTGAGTCAACCATATTGCTCTGAAATTTGAAGTTTTTTAAGTATCCATATGGCTCTCAAAGTGTTTTGGATTTTGAAGCATTTCAGATTTCATATTTTCAGATTGGGGATACCCAACAGGTAATGTCTATACACATATTCCACAGTATTTTTATCTATTACGTGACCATATACATTTTGAAAATTAGAAATGGCCTAACTTAAAAAGATTTTTTAAAGCATATTAGCCCATTAAAGATTTTGAGATGTTCTACACAGAAAAACTGTCTGTAGTGTTAATATTGTTTTTCCCAATCATATTTGTCCATGCAAGTTGAAGTTTATTTTCTCCCATTAACAACAATTAGTTTCATAAAATGTTTTGAGAAATGATACTGTAGAGAAATTAGAGTTAAAATAGCTACTCCACGTGTTCTCAGTTTTCCTATGACTTGGAGTTCAGCATTGGTCATCCTGTGTGATGACAAGCATTTTGCTGATTCTCAGATCCATTGTATACAATTTACACTGGAAACAACTTGATGTTTAGTTTGGTTTGTGTGTTTTCTTTCTTTATTTTTAATGGTGCTGGGGTTTGAAATTAGGGCTTACTGTATTCTAGGTAAATGCTCTGCCTCTGAACTCTATTCCCAGCCTTCTTTTTACTTTTATTTTGAGGCAAAGTCTCATTAAATGGTCCAAGCTGGACTCAAACTAGGGATCCTCCTGCCTCAGCTTTTTGAATAGCTGAGATTATAGCCTGTGCCACCAGACCCTGCTGAGTTAATGTTTGAAAGCTGAAAGCTTGAAATTTAAGAAATGAACAAAGTGACTTAGTGTAGGCTTGATAAGACAGCAAAGCTATGTTTTACATCTACAGAGCCAATTTGTGAAAATTTTCTTCCTAGCACTTAGCCTTCTTATAGAGCCCATTGTCTTTAAATCACCTATAACAAAACAATGTCTTTTTATTTTTTTCTAAAAATCATTACCTTTATGCCATATCATGCATCATTTCTTTTATTCTGTAGTTTCTAAAGACATGAACTTCATGAAAAAAAATTATCACATAGTACTTTAAATAAAGATAAAGTTTCAGGAAAACCAACAAATTGTCCTTTATTTTTAAACTGAAAAAGAAAACAAATCCTTTTTGATAAAGAGCATAACAGAATATTATGTTTGGGGGCATTTGTTTGCCTGTCCTTTTAATCATCATTAAGTTCTTTAGGAGGGTAGGGCTGAGCCCCACATCATAGGTAAGCAAACAGAGAACAGAAAGCATATTAAATGACTTGAGCTTGGACAAGGTGTCGTCGAGGCAAGTGGAAGAATCAAGACCAAGTCTTAGGCTCCGACTTTGGAGTGTGTATCCCTCCTATGGACAGTGGGGGAAATAAAGCACAGGTAGAAATCAGCCACAGGTGTGCAAGTTATAGATAATCACAATTTTACTGTATTTTTTTTTGTTCTTTTGGATGCAAAATATATACACTAATGGGTTCGAGCTGTAAATGTTTATGTTATTATTGTTCATCTTTTCACTGAAGTTTCTTGGGAAACACATAAAACTGGAATATATATAAAATAAGCTTTGCTTCTTTAGTTTTCATTTTTGTTTCACTTAACAAAATCATTTTTTGGATTTTTTTAACTATTTTTACTTTGATAATCACTTGATTGATTTTTAGCATTAACTTATCAGAAATCCAAGTGTCTGCCTTATTGTCTTAGCAAGACTTAGTATTTCTGTAATAAAGAAAACAACCAAAAGTAGAAAAAAGCTTGGCTAAGAACTGCACTGTGACGTGAATCTGTGAGAGCACTCAGGCTTCATAACTGTTATGCTGAACAGCTGAAGTTTTTTACTTAGAAATTTTGAATTTCTTACTTGGAAATTTTGGTATAAAATACTCCACATTATTGATTGAGATCACAAAATCTCTTTGCTGGTACTATTCAATTAAATAAATTAAAACCATTGAACATAGTTTAGGTATTATTTAATTAAAAGAACAATTAGTGCTGGATTCTGCATATGTAAGGTTGCCATCAGTTTCTGAGAAATGTGTTGTAGTTGTGGCTTTTTTTTTTTTCTTATTTAGTTTATAAGGAACATGGAGGCCAGGGATTTGGCTCAGTAGCAGAGTGTTTGCTTAGCGTGTATGAGGCCTTGGGTTTGATCCCCAGCTCCAAAAGAAGAGTAAACATGCATATGAGAATTTGAGGTCTCATAGTTTTAGTTTAACAAATCTTATTCTTACTTTTGTTGGAAAAATTTCTTTAAATGAGTTGGCTGGTTTTTCTCTAGTTGATTATAAGCACTCTATTTTTAATATTTTAATGTTCTTGAATTGTGGCAGAAGAAACGCATTTCTGTATATTTCCTCTAAGTTGTGGATCTGCTTTAGATCAATGAGTATGCTAGTGATGTAAATACTTCTGTTTAAGAGAACTGAGAGTAATTCATTAGATCTTAAAGAGCAATTAGTAACTTTTATTTGTCAACAGTGTGGCTCTTTTTCCCTCCATTTAGATACGAAGTAAATTTTCAAGATGGTATTGATTGTGGAGGTGCATACATTAAACTTCTAGCAGACACTGATGATTTGATTCTGGTATGATATTTTAATATCTAAGAAAACTTCATTAACGTTAGTATTTTAAGGAGTGATTGATACAACTGAAAATTTCATTTTCAATCAAAAATCCAACTTTGGATGTCCTTTTCCAAGATGAGTTTATAAAGCCTTTACAGTAGTTTCTCATTAAGATTCATATCAATTTTGTATTCTTTAGAAATGTCAATAACTGTACCCCATCTGAAAATACAAGGTGACATGATGCTCAGAGATGCTGGTGAAACATCAATTTAGAATTCCTCGCAAAATAGGAAAGCTAAGTTTGTTCAAAGAAGTAAGAAGACAGAGAAAAACAAAAGTATCCAGAAAATCACATTAAAAGCTGAGCCGTATCAGCTATCAATAATACACAGAAAAGAACTAAAGGAGCTTTATAATTCTAAGAGGTTGGGATGTATCTTACAGCGTTCTACAGAGGAGTGGGTCACATTAGCATCTCTGTCAGGAGATTGCGTGTAACAGAGGATAAATGAGACATCAGCAAGGTACTCCCTAGATTGCACTGCTGTACAGGTGCAGGTTGTGAGGTGTGCACGCAAAGCTGCTTCCTGCTAACTTTTAGGATCAGATAAAAGAGATGCCATTTGTTTGTAGGACAAGTTAAAGTTCCTGCCTTAGGTCTTGCAAGATCATGATCACTAGTGATAGAGTGACAAAAAATCGATTGGTCGAATTTCTGTAAGCACTTTTTGGGACTCAGTTCATCCTCAAATAATCCTTATAATAGCCATCTCCATGTAATAATGTGGAGATATAGCAAGGTTCAAAGCTTGCTCAAGGCTGCATACCATTAGTGTTTCATTGGAACAGCACTGAGTCCAGACCCCATATTCTTAAGCAGTATTCCATGCCAGAGAATAGAAACCTTCAGGAGTGAAATAGGAGTCACATCTCTGTGTCTGACTCTTTATTTTGTGCTCAAAAGGGTCATTTTCTGGTATCGTCCTAAAGAAGAGTAGTAAATAATTTAGTCTAAATTTAGTTAGAGATCATAAATATGTTCTCGTTCAATGCTTAATTTCCCCCAGACTGTTAATACATGCTTACATAAACAATGATGCTGCTGAGGTTGTTTCCTCTTCTTTCTACACTTTCAGGGAGGAAGTAGTGTGTGCTTTTCCAGAATACTATATTACTTGAAGTGACTTTCCCATATCCTTTATTGTCATTTCTGTTAATTTTTTGGTAAATTATCATTTAATATATTTTGTAAACTGTACTCATTGGACAGAATAGATAAATTCTTTGGATACATTGTAATTCTGAACTAATCCCAATAATCATCTCTCTTTGAAGGAAAACTTTTATGATAAAACATCCTATACTATTATGTTTGGACCAGATAAATGTGGAGAAGATTATAAACTTCATTTCATCTTCAGACATAAACATCCCAAAACTGGAGTTTTTGAAGAAAAACATGCCAAACCTCCAGATGTAGATCTTAAGGAGTTCTTTACAGACAGGAAGACTCATCTCTATACCCTTGGTATATCCTCTTAATTTATTCAAAAATAATTGCTGACTATTGATATATTGGTGGCACATGCTTTGTGCGAAAAATAAACATGTGGCTACCTTCACTCAAGAAGCTTAGATTTGGGGGAACATAAGATGTATATACTCAGGGAAGAAATAAGATACCATGTGGAGAGATACAGATGAAGTACAGTGAAGAGTTCAGCATCTCAGGACAGTGATCCTACAACAGTGGGAGACTAGAAAATGAAGTCACTGAGGAGGACAGGCTAAAAAGTTTAGCCTCTTTTCTGTAGGCAATTGTGGTGATTGTTATGGTTATGACACAAACCTAAGTTTGAAAGCAAAAGTATTGAGAAACCCTGTTTTAATATCTATCACTTAAGTCAGGGGGCGTTTACATAATACATATAGGGATGGACATTGTAAGGATCATCCCAAGTACCAGATGGTTACAGAGCTTTGATCTGGCCAAGATTATGTAAAAATCACAGCATTTCAAATATTTACAGGACATATTACAGTGGCTCCCTCAGTTTCCTCCAAGCTCCAATTCTACTGAAGAATAGGTATTTAAATTTTATTTCCAAAGCCTTCAGTTATAGAAGCACTCATTGTGTCTGTCAAGTCAATGGCCAGTTTTTTATCTTTAAGCACAGATACAATATCGAAAATCTTTTTCTGAAATAACTGGAAAGTAACACAAGGCATTTGGGGAGCTATAAACTGTAAAACAGTGATAATTCAAATTGATCAAATTGACTTGACTATACCAATAAGATCAAAAGCAAATTAGTGATATGTATTAGAGGCTACAGGGGGTTATGTTCTTAGAATCCCAAATTCCATCTGCATTATCAAAAAAGTATTTAGAAGAAAGATGGCATCTGTGTGACTATATCCACAACATCTGGGACAGCCTAAAAGTTATATAGTTAGGGGGAATTCTGTATACAATAAAAATAAGGATGATAGTACAAACATGTTTAGCAACAGTGAATGCGTCTGTACAGGCCAGTTGTCCCTTAGCTGAAAATCCAGTATCTAAATGTTTTGACAGAACACTCAAGACGTTTGGGTTCTAAAGCATTTCACATTTCCAGATAAGTGGTGCTTAGCTGCTAAGGTCCATGCTGCTGTTCCCAAACCCCAGATCTCAAATCACCAAAGTGTGGAGCATTTCTGATTTCCAGCATTTTGTGTAAGAGATCCTCAGCTTGCGATATTAAAATGAGTGAAGTAGGATTCTAATTGTAAGCATATCATATCGCTTCTTGGGAAATTATGCACACAGATGGGAGAGGACTGGGTTTCGGAAGTGATTAGTTTTCATTAATCACTTCATAGGGAACAAGCTCTATGCTAGGCACGTTGGTATCTCCCTGTGAGATGAGTGGTGGTGGTCTCTTTATTTTGCTTTAACTTAGGTGAGAAGCATACTTGTATTTTCTATTGCTATGATAAAAATACCATGACAAAAATAACTTAAAGGAAACAGGATTTATTTTGGCTTATAGTTCCAGGGGGATAGAGTCCATCATGACAGGGAAGGCATGACTGCAGGAACAGGAAGCATCCACACTCAGGAAGCAGAAAGAGAACAGGAAATAGGGCCAGGTTGGAAACCCTCAAAGCTTGCCCCCAGTAACACACTTCCTCTAGCAAGGCTCCACCTCCTGAAAGTTCCATAACGTTCCCAGACAGCACCACCAGCTGGGGACCAAGTGTTCACATAAGCTCATGGGGAATATTCATATCTAAACCATAACAATCCCCTAGAAAGTAAGAATGATAAGTGGGGTCAGAACTGAAATATAAGTTTGTCATACACAGAAAATTCCTAATCCTGGTAGATTATAGAATGTCTTTTTTTTGTTTAAAAAACTATGTAGTATTGTTTTTTGTTTTGTTTTCAATATTTTATTACTTTTATTTTATGTGTATGCGTGTATTGCCTGCAAGTAGGTAAGTGCACCTGTGTCATGTAATGCCCACAGAGGACAGAAGAGGCTGTTGAATCCCCTGGAACTGGAGATGTGGACAGTTGTTAGCTGCTATGTGGGTGCTGGGATTCAAACGTGGGTCTTCTGCAAGAACAGTCAGTGTTCTTAACCGCTGAGCCATCCCTCCAGCCCGTTTTGTTTGTTTGTTGTTTGTTTTTTTAACAACATCTGTAGGTTTGTCTGTTTTTGACACAGGCTCTTGCCCAGGCTGGTCTGGATCTCAGGACCCTTCTCCTTTTACCTCCTGAGTACTGGGATTACAGGCACGTACCATCAAGCCCTGACCCGTAGCTTTTGAAGTGAACTCTCAAAGAATTGTCATAAACTTTACAAAATCCACTGCTTTTCACTGTAGTTTTCTAGGTGGAAAATTTGGGGCCCAATGTTTTAAACAGATTGTTTTTTTCCACACAAGATAAGGGGGGGGTCCTTCAGGAAATTGTTGGCTTGGGAACCTTTAGCTAGAACTTACCAGGAAGTAAACTAGTAAGTGTAAGCTTGAGTATTTTAAATTATCATTGAGATATTTGACACTGTAGTGAATGACTCATTGAATTTGAAATGTCAGGGAACTTCATCTTTGGAGATTCCTAAAATGATAACCATGTAGTAATGCAACTTTTTTGATTTTGGTGGCTGGCTTGGGTTTGCACAGGAGTATATCCCTGTTTATAGGAAAAATGCATTAAAATTTTCAAGGGTTATATAAGGCCAGTACTCACAAGTGGTTCTGAAACAATCTCACTTCTTTGTAGTGTATTTGCAACTTTTAAAGCCTGAGCTTTTTTTTTTTTTTTTTTTTTTAAGCTGAGGAACATTGGGTAGTCTTTAAATAAGAATGAAATTTTATGGTCATCAGTCCCAAATAGACTAGCTGCTGTTGGGTATTTCTTACCTGTAGAAGTAATGGAGTAGTTAATCACTAAAAATGAAATTTAAAATTTTTATCTTTTTTAAGAAATATTGTAGCTAGTGATATCAGCAAATGTTGATTTAATACATTGGTTATTCCTGTATTTTTATTAGGATACTAGGAGAAAATTCTGTCCATGAACTTGAGGCCATTTTATTATTTAGAAGATTATCTCTAAGTGTCTGTCAGAAGAAGTATAAAATATTTAAATTGTTCTTTAGTGCTGAATCCAGATGACACATTTGAAATATTAATTGATCAAAAAGTTGTAAACAAAGGAAGCCTACTAGAGGATGTGGCCCCACCTGTCAATCCTCCCCGGGAAATTGATGATCCTAATGACAAAAAACCCCAAGAGTGGGATGACAGACCCAAAATCCCTGATCCCTCTGCTGTCAAGCCAGAAGACTGGTAAGCAAAAAATTTAGCTGCAAAGCACTAACCTAAGTAATGGTACATGATGTGTAACATTTACAGCCAACAAAACTTACTTTTTTAACAGGAAAATTATTTATTTTGATTATTTTATATGAAGAGAGAGAGCCAGAAAAGAGCATTGGTTCCCCCCGGAAGTAGAGTCACACACAGTTGTGAGCTGCCCAATGTGTATGTTGGGAACTGAAGTCTTGTTCCTGGCTAGAGCAGTACATGCTCTTAACCACTGAAATGTCTCTCCAGCCCCACTGTCTTTTTGATTAAAAGAATTCTTCACTTTAATATTTTTGCATCATTATCTTTTTTGATGTGTGCTTTTTTTTTATGACCAGTTGTGTAGGAAACACTTTAGTTCTAATCCCTGTCTTGCACTTCCCATATGTGTGTGGATATTATATATTGTTGGAGGGTTTTTCTAGTTAATAATGACGTGGCCTTAAACTGCCATACTGTTAAAATCTTATAAAATTTACATGAAGCCAAGTGTGGCACATGCCTTTAATCTTAGCAGTCAGGAAGCAGAGGCAGGCGGATCTCTTGAGTTGGAGGCCAGCCTGGTCTACATAACCAGTTCCAGGCCAGCCAGGGTTACAGGGAGACCCTGTCCCCAAAAAAGAAAAAAAATTCTCATGGTGGGACTCACATCAGCATGCTTACACATGATTTTTTTCACTAGTTGTATATTTATGTGGTTTCTATTCTAGAGGAATTATGAATCTTTTCCTTCAAAGAAATGTATTCAGTTCCTGAATTCCCACAGCTAGATGTCAGGTGGTGAGAGATACCTGTGTATCTCTCCATTTATCAAGTTAGTCTTTGCCTTTCAGATATGATTTCTCCATGAAAACCATGTTACTTTTATTCCTAAGAACTGTAGTTTTTTCTGCTGATTGCATAATTGTTAATTAGGGTTTTTGCTAAGTAGATTGTTTTGATTTTAGTTTAACCTATCATATTAAGTATTGCTGTATAATAAATATCCCAAAACTTAGCAGGAAAAGACAGCACGTGTTGACTATCTCAGTGGGTTTCTGAGAGTCAGGGATATCAGAATGGTCTGACTGAGAGGCTCAGACTTTGATCTGTGGTCCTCTCAGGGACCATCTGTGGAGATGCTGAATTTGCTACACATACTGCCTGGCCTCTTGGGTCTTCTTTTGAAATCATGGTAGAAGCCTCAATGGCCTGGTAGTGTGGTATTACTATGGTAACATTACAGTCACTGAAATACAAAAGTCTGACTCTTAAATTTAGTTTTTAAGAATGATTTTAAATTCAGAGGACACTTGTCCCACCAGATACCTTTTGGAACCATCTGTCTTCTGGAACTGTGCTGATGGAACTGTCTTGTTGGAACTGTGTCCCTAGAACTGTGTGCTTGAGTTAGGCCCCATCCATGATTTTATTCAAAATGGTTTCTCCAGCTTCCACTGGGAAAGTACAAGTTTGGCTCCACACTTAACAGACCATCCTGCCTTTTCATCTCTAGTTCAAAAATTTCTCATTCACCCAGTGTCAGTCGTTCTTCCCAGCCTTCATCGTGTGCAGTGAAGATGGGTGCACCATCTTTCAGCACTTTGGTTTGTTAATTCTCAAGCATGCCCATATTATCTTTTGAGATGGAGTACCAAATTGAGGTTGCCAAGGAAACAGGATCAGGTACTCAGTCACAAGACACAACAGCCCATGGTTTTGCTGAGGTTAATTAAAAGTCATTAGTCCAGATTATGTCCTTTTATAAAAGTCATTATACATCATAGCTTTTATATTCTGTGCACATGCAAAGCCTACACCACATGAATGGCAACACAAGGTCTACCATCAGCAGATTCAGCAGCCAGGCCCCCTTGAACCATAGCTACAGCTGCCTCTTAAATGCATGAACTACTGAAAGTGAAGAGAAAGATCTTGGGTAACAGTTTTATAGACAGCTGTGTGAGAGCAGGACATGGAGCACTCACTCTTCTCAAAGCAAAGTGTGTCGAACAAATTTAGAGTTTTATGCCTTTGAGCCTAAGAGGGTAGCAACTTGCTGATTCCTGAGGTGCCCTTGAGATATTGTTCCTATTGTCTCAATGCAAAGTGCATGGATTCTTTTTAATAGCACTAATCTGTTTAGCAGGAACACCCTCCATAGCAGCAACTTTACACACACTTTTCTGTGCAATCTAAGAGCCTCTCATATCTTTCTGATTTCTTTTTTGCTATGATTTCTCACTGCAAACTTGGCTAAAGGTAGCCAGCAATAACTATTCCATAGCCTAAATGCCATACTGCCCTAAAGTTTCCTATGCCAGATTCATTAATCTATCATGTTTAAACTCATCATTCCACAAAGTCCTAGGACATGCTCAAAATGTATATAAGTTGATTTGTCAGCATACAGCCTGAATGTCTCTGGTCGAATCCTCAGTAGAGTCCTTGTTCCCATCCATGAAACCTCTTGAGTGTAGGCTTTTATGCTGGCAGCCCCATCAGCATCTGGTCTTCTGAGATAGCACTAGAATTGCCCACTAAGCTCTGCTTACAGCATTCTAAACTTTTTCTACCCTGATCCCCAGACTTTTCCAAATTATTCCCACAGACAAGTTCCAATAGCTTCTGAATCATGTGGTCAGGTATAGTCACAAATATCAGCCCATTTCTTGGTACTCATTCTCTGTTTTAGATTTCTATAGCTGTGACAAATACAAGCCTCGAATAATCTGCATATAGGAGGGAGGCTTACTTCAACTTGTAGTTGCAGCAATTTCAGTCCATAATCCTTGGCTGCACTGTTGGTGGGTGAGGCATAGCACAAATGCTGTAGTGCCCTAAAATTTCCTCTGCCAGATGCATTAATCTATCATGATTAAACTCAGCATTCCATGGAAGGGGGTGCACAGTGAAGCAGAGCTGCTCTTGCTGTGGCAGCCAGGGAACAGAGAGCTCACTTCTCTCACAAAACCCCCTGCCTGAAATCCATTAAGCTAGGAATCTGAAAATAAACTAAGCCATTCGTGAGACCAAAGCCTTCATGGTCCAGCCACCTGCTAGAGGCCTCACTTCTGAACATGACTGCACTGGAGACCAAGTCTTCAACACATAAGCTTTGGGGGGTATTTAAAATTCAAAGAGTATCAGTTAAGCATCCAGTATATATTTTTACTCACCGAGTTTATAAGTGACCAAAACAAGATCTAGCATGCCATATATGGAAGGCTGTCATTTATATTTTTAAAAAGTATGTGTGTATGTGTGTGTGTGTGTGTGTGTGTGTGTGTGTGTGTCTACCCATATATGTGGAGCACAAGAGAGAATGTGTACAAAAACTGACAAGCTAGCAGCAACTTAAATGAATAAAATATATTACTTAGTGTGTATGTATATGGGGGTGGGTAAGGTATTATTTTTTTCAGTTTATTATTCATTTAATAACCTCATACTTAGAAGAAGCATTTCATTACAACAGCATTGACATATTCAATAACAATTTCCTGAGCTAAGATGCATCTTTTTTAAAATTGCTGTAAATTTTAGGTTTACAGTTGAATTAATACAGTTATACAATATTGTAGTCCATATAAACCCTATAAGACATAAAATTAAATGAGGTTTTAACCTTTAAAAAAGATCTCCATTTCATTATTAAAATACACAGTTTCATATAGAAAAATTCATTTTCAATGCAATTGACATTAAGATGTTTGCACATGTGTTTCTAATCTGTATATATCTGATTATTACTAGTGACAGTTGGTTAATTTCTGAGCTCCTTGGCATCTGAGCATGGGTATAAAGTCATCAGGTATATTTCAGTGGTAATGTTTTTCACATCTACTATTTATTATTATTATTTTAAATTATTTATTTCATAACCAAATGATTAGATGAAACATTTCATGAAAACAGCATTGACATATTCAATAACAATTTCCAGAGCTAAGA